GATGTTTTGTGCAATGAATATGATTCGATGTCCGTGTAGTAAGTGTTGGAATAGAGAATGGCATCATCAACGCAGAGTGCAATCTCATCTTATTACGAACGGCTTCATGGATGGGTATTTAATTTGGAAAAGACGGAGAAATTATTCATAGAAAACGGCGTTGCACCCAAGTGGGTGAATCATCAAGTGCCGTTACTATTGCTGCTATGAATAATGTTCCAAGTGTCGATCAACTCAGAGACATGCTTCATGATGCCATAGGACCAAATTTTTTTAATAATGAAAATAGTGCCACAAGAGTAGAAGATGCAACACAATTTGATGCTAGTTTTGATGATTCATATGGTGTTAATACAAAATCGATATTTGAGGAGCCAAGAGGAGATGCAAAAGAGTTCTTTGATCTTTTGCAAGCAACTGATACACCTCTTTTTGATGGGTGTGATGATGGTGTCACTATCTTAAAGTGGGTGTGTGAGCTCATGAGTGCAAAAACTCTTTTTAACATGAGTGTTACTAATTGGGACTATGTGCTAAAGCGTAGTCTAATGGCCTTCAAAAAAGTTGATAGGGAGAAATTGCCAACAAATTATTACAGTGCCAAGAAGATGTTGAGGCGTCTGGGTCTCGGGTATAAAAAGTATGATGTTTGTGTGAACAATTGCATTTTGTATTATGGAGAATATGAAAATCAGTGTTATTTACAGTGCCCGGTATGTGAAGAGCCACGATTTAAGCAGCGTGATGTGCATTCTGCTAAGCCTATACCAAGACAGTCTTTGTGGTATCTTCCAATTATTCCTAGACTTCAAAGATTGTAGATGTCTAGGAAAACTGTCGAGCATATGACCTGGCATTTAAATTGTTATAATGAAAATGAGAAAATGTTTCATCCTGCATGTGGAGAGGCGTGGAAGCATTTTGATAGCACTCACCCTGAGTTTGCTAGTGAACTGAGGAATGTTAGGTTAGGTTTGTGCATTGATGGGTTCACTCCTTTTGGACATTCTGCATCTCCATACTCTTGTTGGCCAGTATTTGTGTCAGTTTATAACCTACCTCCAACAATATGCATGAAGCAAGAATATGTATTCCTTTCATTGATTATCCAAGGTCCCCAAAGTCCTGGAAAGAATATTGATGTAATGCTTCGACCACTAATTGATGATTTAAAACAGCTTTGGTATTTTGGAATCCAAACTTATGATAGCTTTAGGCATCAATACTTTCTAATGAAGGCTACACTAATGTGGACCATTAGTGACTTACCTGGGTATGGAATGTTGTCTGGATGGAGCACACATGGTAAATTAACTTGTCCCTATTGCATGGAAAATTCGAAGGCCTTTTGGTTGGAACACGGTCGGAAGACATCATTTTTTGATTGTCATCGACAATTTTTGCCACCGAATCATCCATTTAGAAGAAACAAGAATGACTTCATAAAGGGTTGTACAGAGAATGGAGCAATGCCAAAGAGATTGTCTGGTGATGAGATGCGTAGTCGCATCCATTGGCTACCCGATGTACTATTTGGTAAGCCACCTCAGAAACAGGAAATCCACGAATTTGGTGAAGTGCACAATTGGGTTAAAAAGAGCATATTTTGGGAATTACCATATTGGCACACAAACTTGATTCAACACAATTTAGATGTCATGCACTGTGAGAAAAACTTTTTTGACAATATCCTTCATACAGTAATGGATGACCCTATGAAAAAAGATAACATAAATGCAAGATTTGATCTGGAATTGTATTGTAAAAGGAAAAGTCTGCACATATCAAAAACAGGAGTGAATTCGAGTAAAAAGCCAAAGGCCACTTATGTTCTTAGTAGGGATCAAAGAAAATCAATATGTCAATGGTTGAAGCAACTTAAATTCCCTGATGGATTTGCCT